TCCATGGAGCAGTAGGTATAGGTAATGGTTGTAACAAGCCAGGACGTCGTTTGTGAGAGGATTTAGAAACGGCACATATTTGACATGTCCCTACATAATCCTTGATGTCATTCCTAAGTGTAGGCCACCAGAACCTCCTGGAGATAGCAGAGAGAGTTTTATGGACTCCTGGATGACCTGCTGTCAGATTATCATGGAATAAACCAAGTACCTTTTTTCTTAATGGTGGTGAAACGTACAGTTTATCCGGAGACCTCTCCACGGCTGCCTGAGTTTGATCTGCGATTATAGCACAGAAGAGTGGAGAAGACACTTCAGAAACAGTAGTAGCAATAAGGCATTCTGGAGGTATGATACAGGATACCTCTTGTTCAGGAATCTCATCTGTCTCAAACTGTCTAGACAATACATCTGCCTTGCTGTTCTTTGTCCCGGGCCTCTAGGTAATTACAAAGTTAAATCGGGAGAGGAACAATGACCATCTAGCCTGACGAGAGGACAATCTCTTAGCGTCCCCAATATAAGCCAAATTCTTGTGATCGGTAAAAATCAGAAGTGGCTCTTTGGAAACTTCTAAGAGATGTCTCCATTCTTTAAGGGCAAGTATTATGACCAATAATTCCCTATTCACAATGTCATAATTTATCTCCGCAGGTGTTAGTTTTTGAGAGAAAAACCCACAGGGATGTAAAGGCGTATCAGGACTTTCTCTTTGGGACAGAATTGCTCCTACTCCTGTTTCTGACGCAACTACTTCTAGAATAAATGGTTTGGTTGGATCGGGATGTGTCAGGACAGGTGCTGCGGCAAATAAAGATTTTAATTGTTCAAATGCCTCCTTTGCTTCCTTGGGCCATGAATTGCAATTTGCTCCTTTTTGGTTAGATTGGTAATAGGGGAGATTACAGAGGAAAAACCTTTAATGAACTTGCGGTAATAATTTGCAAAACCTATAAAGCGTTGTGTAGCTTTAAGGCCTTTGGGTAGAGGCCATTGTAAGACTGCTTCCAACTTGTGAAGGTCCATTTTGAAGCCAGATGGAGATATAACATATCCAAGAAACTGTATCTCGGTCTGGTCAAACTGGCACTTCTCCAGCTTACAGTAGAGGCTGTTTTTTTAACCGGGTTTACTGTTCTCACATGTTAGTGATGTGTCTCTAGGTCCTGGGAATAGATGAGAATGTTGTCCAGGTACACTAAAACGAACATGTGGAGGTACTCCCTAAGGACATCATTAATGAAATCCTGAAATACCGCATAGTCCAAACGGCATAAGTAGATATTAGTAGTGTCCCATTCTTGTATTAAACGCGGTCTTCCACTCATGCCCTTCCTTAATTCTGACTAGGTTGTAAGCACTTCTGAGGTCGAGCTTAGTGAAGACTCGGGTTCCTTTCAACCTGTCGAATAATTCAGAAATAAGGGGAATGGGATAGGCATTTTTTATTGTTATCCTATTCAAACCCCTATAGTCTATACAAGGACATAGGTCTCCTTCTTTTTTAGAAACGAAGAAGAACCCAGCCCCAGCAGGTGAAGAGGATCTACATATGTGACCCTTTCTGAGATCATCTTTTATATACTCTTCTATACAAAGATTTTCCTGAGGAGATAGTGCATATACTACTCCTTTGGGAGGCATAGTACCTGGTAACAAGTTTATGGTACAGTCGTAGGGTCTATGTGGTGGTAGTATTTCTGACTGACCTTTGTTAAATACCTCCTGTAGGTCAAAATACTGCGGTGGGATTTCTGTGGTTAGGGGAGGCACTATAGGTATATTGATGGTACCAATAGGTTGTGGCATCCGCTTAAAACAAAGACCTCTGCATCTCTCACCCCAACTCGCGATTTCTCCTTCAACCCAACTTGAACATGGATTGTGTTTCTGGAGCAAACCGAGTATCATAGGACATGTGGGTGAGGATATAATTTGAAAAACCATTTCCTCAGAATGTAGAATACCCACCGAGACAGTGATTGTCAGGGTTTCATGCGTGATGAGAGGCTGGGTAAGGGGTCTCCCATCGATGGCCTCCACTGCTATGCGTCTCTCTTTCTGCCTTAAGGGCAGGAGATATTTAGCAGAGAATTCCTTGTCTAGAAAATTCTCCACTGCCCCAGAGTCAATCATAGCCTCACACTGTACAGCGGTTTTCTTACAAGATAAAGTAACTCTTATAAGGAAATGGTTCTTAGTCAATTTAGGGGACATATACATCACACCTAAGGCTGGTCCCCGAACGTGCCTTAGGTGCGCAAGTTTTCCAGCCGAACCGGACATGAAAATCTTTGATGTCCTCTTTTGCCACAATATAAACATAACCCCTCGTTGCGTCTGTATTGTCTTTCTGCCTCAGTGAGTTTTGTAATGCCCAGTTGCATGGGTTCTGGTTCTGGAGGTGGGGCATGGTTAATTACAACTGGGTTAGAGAAACGAGGGGCTATGGATAAGGTTGTCAATATCTATCATGTAGGCAATAAAGTCATTAAGGTTAACCGGAAGATCTCTGGCTGTGGTCTCGTCTTGTATATTCTCCGCTAGGCCTTCGGAGAAGGCAGCCACTAGACCGCTATTGGTCCAGTCAACATCAGACGCCAAAGTTCTAAACTCAATGGCGTAGTCAGCTACAGAGCGATTGCCTTGTTTTATTCTCATTTGGCAGTGTTCTTTTCTCTCCCTTTTGGCTC